TATTGCCGAAGCAGCATTTACCTTTTTGAGCTTTTAAATGGATAGTTGGGGTGGCCAGTGTTGAGAGCACCTTACCACAGGTACATTATTTTTTCTTCTCTGGATGTAAAGGTAAAAATCTGTGTCTTGATGAGAATATCTTTTTAAATGTGTGCTTTCCACAGTAAGTCCTTTCCCTTCCAAAACAAAAATGAACTAAGAGGTAACTTCCTGAATCACTGTTAACATAGCTAAGGTCCTAGAAAGGAAATCTATTCCCAGGTTCTTTGGTTGCATCATGTATATCTGAAAATGGTAAGGAGAGGAGGTCTTCAGTAATGTATATTTCAGTAACTGTAATTTCAAGTTTGTATACAACATACAATGTGTAATATATGGGTGTAGTATATAATCTTATCTAAAGTGTCTTTTATGCTGATAGTGAGATACTAGCATAAATTCCTTTCTTTAGTATTGGGGTTGACCTTTAAGATTATTGTGTGTTCTACAAGTTTATAAGAGACATCATAGATTCTCTCACAACTTTTTTCCCATCTGAATTGTTCTTTCTTTCCCAGCTTTTGTGCCTTTTCTCCTTTCTGAATACTGTCCCTAAAGACACAACAGGCATGTTGCACAAGCTGCTTCTTACTAATTGTAATCACTAAACTTTCTTCCACAGATTGTTTCTAAGCTGAAGGATGAAATTACTCTAATGGAGAGAGAGCACAGTGACCTTCAGTTGCACATTGCAAGAACAGACTGGTGGTGTGAGAATCTTGGCTTGTGGAAAGCCTTCATTGTCTCAGGCGAGGTATGGGGGGGGTTTATGACTTTTTATCTTCGGAGTCAGTTCAAACTTGCATGAAGAGAAGAATAAAAACCTGTGTATACTTTCCGTATACCTTTGTGTACACTGTGTATACTTTGTATTTACTTGAGGGGGGGAAACCCTAATCTCTTCTCAACCTCACCTCTGCTTCCCCAGCAACTACTACAATGTGCATACAGCATTTCTGTTCCTCAGACACTGTTGTTGTAGTGGACTTATAAAAATACCTACATGTGTATGAAATGGTTTTGGCATTGAGCAATTTGCTATCTTAGGGGCATTGTTTTTCATGAGAACTGTCTCTTGTTATATTACCATGCCATTACACTTGGGTGCAGTTGTGTGTCTGCCACGTCTCAAAGATGCAGTACTTAAAAGTTCTGTGTCTTATTATGTTTAACGGCAAAAGAGGTTCCAGGGGACTAGAAAGAAAGGTGGCTGTTGGTTTGGTTTTTTGTTTTTTTGGTCTTGTTCTGCTCTTCTGTTTGAGCATAAACAATCATAGAATGAGTGTAAAAAGAAATTGTAATGGAAACAAAAAGTATTACCATCTTACGGCTTTCTATTAACACTTGGCATGAAAGGAACCTAATAAATGGTTGTTATGTAGTAACAAGGCTCACACCATACAAAAGTCATTTTCTTGACAGCATCACTTCAGAGAGTTAAAGATTAATTGGATCTTTACTGGCTTGCCTTCCTGCGCTATTAAGAAGATGTTCCTTAAATAAGTTGTTTCCTTGAGGTAATTTTTCTTGGAGGAAAAAATCATGTGCTGTTGATTTGGTTGTGTCTTGAGCTCTTGCAAACTATTGATAGGTCTGTCAATGGTTAAACTCATTGTCTGTAAAAGAAGAAATAAGTCTAACAGGTTAAAAACTTAAGGTGTCATTAAAAAAAATGGATTCTTAATGTGTAAACATCTGGGGTTTTGTTTTAGTGCTATTTGCAGGTGACACAGTTGAGAATAGTGAAGCTCTTAAGTTACCTTTAAGAGTTCTCTGTAGCTTTTGAAGTCTGGTTTCAAAAAAACAGCAATATGTATGCAGCAGAACTGCAGCTTTCTGGTAAGGGGCCCAGCATCTCCCTTATTACTAGGTGAGAAGGTGGTTCAGCTAAATAAGAGGGAGGTTGGGAGAGGCTTCTAATTACTAGCAGCTTTAACTGTAACTTAGAAGTAATACTGGATTAGATAATTAAATGTTGTTTGTACTCTCTTAGCTTGAATCTTTCAGTCTTTAAGGTTGTAGCCGTATAAATGCACTACGTGTGTGTGTGAAATGTATATATTAAAAACCTCCACAATGTAAATGTTATAACCTACCATTTGAGTCTTTTGGTAACTGCTGTTATTTCTGATTAAAGTGTCTTTGGAGACTCAGTGGTTTGGCTGATTGGTAGAGGTTGAAAAAAGTAGGAACATGCAGAATGAGGGGACCTATAGTAACAACTCGTCTAATTCAGAGAATCTCTTACCCATGACAAGTATATTCCTCCCATACCAGCAAGTATAAAACTTATAGCTGTATAACCTAACTCACTCTACTTGCTTTAAGGCTTTTGGCCTTGTATGGTTTCGTACTGTAGCAGACATTCTGCCTCCTCTGTCCGAAGACAGACGACCGTTTCAGAGCATAGCATCTTTTTAAGAATGTATCACTTTCATAAGGAATGCAGTTTGCAGATTTGAATAAGGTGAAAAAATAGAGTATCTTACTGATTTAAGTATATTGGAATTTGGGATGTTTATGTTGGGTGGAAGTTAAGGACATTAGCTTCCTGTGAACTGAGGAAAACAGCGGTGTGCCTGATACACCTTCTGCAGTCTTTCTGTGTTTAAAAGAGACTTCTGAAGGCTTTTTTCTTAACAGCAGTTTGCTTAAGCCCCTATTTCAATGCCTGCACAGCTTGGGTGGGCTGTTTCAGAGAGCTGCTCTGAAACAGCTGAACATAGTTTCTGGTGAATCAGGGGCTTAATGACCAGGCTAATTTTTGTTAGTGTTTAATCATTCCTGACAGGTGTCTGGGCCAGCCCTTAGTGCTTCTAACAGGTGATTCAAGGGCTTTCGTTGGCAGTACTTTACTGAACTATTATTACAGGTTTTGCTAATGCTAAATTTACATTTTACCTGCTGCAGCTAATAACTTTAGCTTCTCCAGGAAAGCAGTCAATAATATTTGTTCTTGCAATATTTCATTGAATGTGTCTTACTGTTACCACACCACACACCCCAGTAAGAGGTGCTCACCCTGGTGTACACCTTGTAGTTTTTATTAATGGATGTAGGTGTGTCAATGTCCTCATTCACATCTGTCCACTTTGGGACTTTGTGTCTCATAGGAAGAAGGTAGAAATCGTACCCTTTGTGGACTAGGTGTCTATGGCATGCTAGTAGACAGTAAATTCTGAAATAGTTAGTCTTTACATTGTCTTGAGGCTACGGAGTTGCTGCCAGCGCAAAAACTCTGATAGCCTGAAGCTGCTTTGGGTACTTGAGGGCTGATTTTGTCCTTGGCTGATAAGTAGCAGTGAATAACCTGAAAGACTTGCAGGTGTAAGCTGAGGAAGCGGGCTGAGAAAGGGCTGAGGAGGAGACCTGTGGAAATTCTATCCTAGGGGCTAATTTTGAGAGCCCTTGCAGTGCTGAGAGGTGATCAGGGGCAAGACTGTCACAGGACCTTTGGACTTGGAAAACCAAACCACAGAACAAATGTTAAGTTTATGCTTATGAAGAATCAGAGCTGGAAGAGGGTTGGGATTGTTCTCAGAAAGAACGGGATGATTTCTAGGATGGAGGTTATAGCAGCGCGGTGAAGTCTCACAGCATGGCATTGGAGGTTCAGTGTT